ATACATATATTGATTTAAATATCTATTTTTTTAGTTCTACTTTTTTATAATGATTATTATATAATTATATTAATTTAACAAATAAATTTACATAGCTAGCAAAATGTTATTAATATTAGTTCTTTTTATCTCTTATAATTTATTTTATTTGAGAAAATAAAAATTTATTATAATACATATTTATATTCAGGTCATAAGAATATAAAGGCAATTTGGACACATGGTGGTCTTCTCAGTACACAGGAAGCGATCTGGAAAGGTGTGCCAGTGATTGGAATGCCATTTTATCTGGATCAAATACCCAATGTGGAATTATTAGTACTTAAAGGAGCTGGCGTTCGCTTAGATTTTGCCACTTTATCCACAGAATCAATATTAGACGCGTTTGAAAAAGTACTTTACAATAGGAAGTATGATATTGAATTATAATTGTTAATAATGTCTTTTTCATTACATATTTTCATTACACATTTCATTACATCTATGCAAATTTATGTGCTATTTTGCAAGTAAATTTGATTAATACGTTAATATAATATTTATGATCAAAAAAAATATAAGAATAATTAATATTATTATTTAAAGTAAAATAATATAAATATAAAAGTTAATATAATACAATAATAACATAGTATATATAATATATATTTTTTGAGATTTGATATATTTTATTAAATATGTTTAATTATATAAATTTTCTCTTTGCTGCATTTAACTAATATGAAATTTACATGAACTCTAAGTTTATTATGTATAATGTAACTAATGATAAAATATTTGTCGTGCAGTTATACAAAAAATATGAAACGATTATCCAATGAATTTCGGGATCGACCAGTGCCGCCGTTAGATTTGGCGGTTTGGTGGATTGAATACGCTGCTCGTAATCCACATGGAAGTTTAGAATCTTCGCTTAGATCCCAAAGTTGGGTAGAACAGAATCTAATCGATATTTACGCATTCTTGTTTCTTATTCTTATAGTAATATTGTCGGCCATACTTTTTATATTGAAAAAATTATTTAAATTTTATTGTAATCGTGTATATTCTGTATCTAAATTGCAAAAACGTAAACAAATGTAAGAAATAAATAAAAATAATAATGTAAAAATATAAATAAATGTAATATATTCAAATATAATAATAGGTGTTGAATTTAATTTTAATGTAAGATAATACGTGTATATTATTATGAATATATGTATAAATATAGGTATAGTTATGCAAAAATTAAAAAAAAAATAATATTTGTGTGTTATTATTCGAAGATTGAGACATAAATTGTTGCCTATAATTAGTTCTGCTTTTATTTGTTTATTTATTATTTACATTTATTATATATATATTTTCATGCACAATAGTTATACATCATTTTTAATAAAAAAAAGCATTTGTAAATATAAAAATTTTGTGCAAATATTAATATTATAATATCACATATATGTAATATATGTTTTACGTAAAAACTAATTCTTTGTTTAAAATTGAGATTAGCATAAAATAAACAGTATGGAGATATTTGATAATTGATTCCTTAAAATGAGATTTAAACAAGAAGCATCATAACATTTACAAATGAATTGTGTTATTATTCTGTTGTATATCATTTTGGGCGGATTAAATATGAACAATCATTATATTATTGCTGATAAAGATTATGTCAATAATGTCTTCATTTAATCTCTAAACAGTAATATCAAACGATACGATAACACTATATATTATTTAGATATGATTGATTTCTTCCTAACTTCTATGTAACTTATTCTATCTAACTTTTATGTAACTTCTAACTTCTATATAACTTCTATGTAACTTTTTGAATGCTTACGAAATTTGTAACGATGCGCTCGCGCATCGTAACTACTATTCCTGTATTGAATAAATATGTTATTTCCTCTACTCGCTTGTCTGTCGCACCCGCTAATTTCCCGCTATCTCGCTCGCAACCATGCATGCTCGCACGCTCTTTCGCTCGCACGCTTGCTGTCTCGTTTGCTCTCACCGCTTTGCGCTTGCTATTTCGCTCTGTCGCTCGTCCGAATATTCGCGAATTTTCGCAGTCGTGCCCCACCTGAGTGCGTCGCCAGGTAGGGGATCTCCGGCCGAGTATAAGAGCCGGCACGACCAGTGCATCGAGGCCGGATCCTGACCAGATCTCGCCCGGGCCGAGGTGCTCCTCGGCTCGATCGGGTGTCTTCGGTGTCGGTCATCCCATCCCGGTCGAGATGTTCCTCGATCCGCCGGGTGTCTCCGGCTTCCCGAAACCGCTCCAGGTCGAGGTGTTCCTCGATCCGCCGGGTGTCCTCGGTTTCCCCTGATCCAGTCCGAGACGACTTGTCGTCCGACCCACCGGGTATCTCCGATTTCCCTGTACGCGTCTCAGTCGAGACATTGCCCGACTGCACGGGATATCGCCGGCATCTCTGAGCCGTCCTGACAACCAGCCCCGTCGACGATACAACTCTAGCTTTAGGTTCCGTGTCCGTCCAGAGTACCTCTTTTGATTTCTTGTCCGCAGCCTTAAGTTCGCGATTCCGTGATCGTCCGGTATCAGTTATTAGCGTTTCTCGTACGACCGTCGAATATTACTTGTCCGCGCAGGATCTACCGTTTTCTTTTGTACACCGGATATTACTTTCTAGTTTAATTATTACACGAACAAATACACCGACATTTATACTTTCGCATATACACACACACACACATTGTACATACTTCATTCAATAAACACACATCTAGTAAAATGATCGCACAGGTTGATTTATACCCCCCCTTCGCTCGAATCCTGATTATCCGACGAGCCGGTCCGGTGCGTCGAGAAAGGTGGACCGTTTCAAATTAATAAACTATTTAAAGAAAAACTGCACTTAAATTGACGTATTTGAACTCTATCATTATGTTATAGTAAAATATAATGAATATAACATAGTTTATAAAGAACTGTAAAAAATGCATAGTTGCGAGAACGAAAAGATAATTAAGAAATATTGATTGTATTCTAAAAATAACTGAACTTAACAAAATAATATATATCAGTAAATTACATATGATAATTATGCTGTAGTATTTTGAAAAATAAGATAATGTTTGATGGTACTTTTTTATATTTAAGGAAAGATATGTGACATTATTGTTAATAATATTTTTTATGTATTTTATTTATTAAATCATTATTATTTTTATTATGTTCACACAATTTCGAAGAAAAATAAATAAAATTCTTGAAAATATTAAGTTTACAAGCACTATCATTATGTAGGTTAATAACTTTGTGTGGCCTTGCCATTCAATCAAAGCAATCTTTGCAAGACTAAAAGAGTAAGAGAAAAGAAAAGAGAGATAAGAAGATCTATCAGGTAATATAGGCATTACAGAATAGATTGGTGTATTCGAGCTTGAAGCTCAATTGTGAGCAAGCAAGTGAAGTAAAAAGCATTCATATTACATATCTTGTTAATTATGTTTAAAAAACTGATTTTTTATTGTACTTTAATGAGACTAGTGACAATGTCAAACTCATTATCGATTTTACTATTACAATCCATACTATCAAATAATCATCATATTTGGGTGTTAAATTTATTGAAAGAATTACTTAGCAAAGGCCATCACGAACACATAGTCAGCATTCATGAATCTGATATCAAAGATAAACTCGCACAGAATATGGCATACGCTGCAAGCATTGTTACAAGAAATTTATATAAATATATTTTATTCTTAGATAAAACTATTACATATACATATATATATATTATATATATATATATATATATATATAGAATTATGTAGAAATTTAAAAAAAAATAATATTTGTATGTTATTGTTTGAAGATTAATATATACTTGTTATAGTCTATAATTTATTTCGTTTTTATTTATATATTTATTACATATATTTATTACATATATATTTTCATACAAAACATATATCTTTTTTAATTAAAAAAATCACATTTATAATATAAATATTTAACAAATTTAAAAATTTTACGTGAATGTTAATATTATAATATCACGTAATATATGTGTCATGCAAATGACTAATTCTTTCCTTAAAATTGAAATTAGAAGTAAATAATATGGAGATATGTGATAATAGATTCTTTCATGTGATATTTAAACACGAAGCACTATGACATTGACAAAAGAATTATGTCATTGATCTGTTGTATGTCATTTTGCATGTCCATCAAGTATGAACAATCATTATTACTGACGATATTATGTTAATCTTCTTAGTTTCCTTTTAATGTCAATAATAATATGAAATCGATACGAGATAAGCACTACATATTATTGAAATATATGATAGTGGTTTCTTTTTAATTTCTTCATTCTTTCTTTAATTTCTTCTCACTTTTTGAATGATTGTACAATTAGTAAATTATTTAAAGAGAAACTGCATTTAAGATTTTGTATTTGAATTATATCATAACTATATGTATTTAAATGTTAAATCATAATTAATTTAACATTCATAAAGAACCGTTAAAAATGTTGTAAGAATTAAATAGACAATAAGAAATATTGCATTTTGAAAAGTAATAATAACTGAACATTCATAACAAAATAATATATATAATCAATAAATTATATAAAATAATTACGCTGAAATAGTTTGAAAGATAATAGTCAGTCTTAAAAAGAAGTAATTTGAAAGCTAAGAGTTCAGAAGAAGTTTGAAAGATAAGAGTTCAGTCTTAAAAGATAAGATACAGTCTTATCATATTTTTTATATTTAAGTAAAGATATAATATTTTTTATGTATTAAATTTTAATCATATTTACTATGTTCACACAATTTCCAAGAAAATAAATAAAATTCTTAAAAATATGAAGCTTATAAACGTTATCATTATGAATGTTAACAATTTTGTGTGGCCTTGCCACACAAAGATTCAATCAAAGCAATGTTTGCAAGAACAAGAGAGTAAGAGAAAAAAAAGATAACAAGTAAAAGAAGAGAGATAAGGTAGCTATAAGGCAAATATATAAATAGATTGATACATTTGCGCTTGAAACGCGATTGTGAACAAGGCATTCGTATTATATATCTTGTTAATAATGTTAAAAAAATTCATTTTTTATTGTACTTTAATGGGACTTGCGACAATATCAAGTTCATTATCGATTTTATTGGTGCAACCCATACCGTCAACCAGTCATCATGTTTGGACGATGAATTTATTGAAGGGACTACTCAGCAAAGGTCATCACGTACACATAGTCAGCATCCATGAACCCAATATCAAAAGCAAACTCGCCGAGAATATGACATACGGTGTAAGCATATATATGTTAAAAGAAATTTGAATATATTTTAGATAAAATTTCATACATAAACATATATACGTGGGTCGTTTGATAAGTTTGGTAAATTTCCGTGAAATTGCGTCACAATCCATTTGGTGACTTATTGCTTGTAAAGTTCCCTCTTTCGTACCTCTCTAAAAAATTTCAAGCGAAAGTATGCGTTGTTTACGTTCGATAGTCATTTGAAGCAAGTGGTTTGACTGTTGTAACAAAAATGGAAAAAAAAAAAAAAAAAAAAAAAAAAAATAATTGGTAAAATTACACGAATTGCGTTTCGAATTAATTCCTCATCCATCCTATTCTCCGGATTTGGTTCCATGCCAATTCTTCCAGTTTGCAAATTTGAAAATCTGCCTCGGTGGAAAGAAATTCTCGTTGAACGAAGAAGTTGTTGCCGTCAACGAGTATTTTGCAGGCTTTAAGACAGCCTACTTTTCCGGCGGTATTAAAAAATTGGAAATTTGTTGGACTAAGTGTATAGACCTCGATGGAGACTATATTAAGGAATAACAAATTTTTTCAAAAATAATGTGTTTTGTTTGCTTTTTTACCCAACTTATCAAACGATCCTCGTGTATATATACAGTGTCCCATTTTAATCGATGACCCCGAATAACTTTTTTAATTTTGATTGTAGGAAAAAATGTTTCCGACAAAATTGTATGGCTTGAAAGGGGACATAAGATGGTATCATTGGTTTTACCTTGAAAAGTTGTTTGCTCACATGAAGGCCACCTTCAATTTTTTTAATGGAACCTCCTATTTTTTATTACTCATTCTTGTAGCTTATCTCGAGAGTTTTTCAAAACACTATAATAAAGTATTTCTTCATTGAGTACTTTATAAAGCTTGAAATCATTTCTTAATTTTACATAAACCATAAAGTATCTAGTAAAATATTCATTTTTCGATTATTCTAGTCTTTAATACTTTTTCTTAGTCCTTAATACTTTTATGTACAAAATAATGAGAGGAATCAATTGTTGTAAAGAAAACACATAATTATTTCGAAGAAAAAATATGTAGTATGCAATTAACTATTCCATATTTTTTCTTAAAAACAACTGTGTTTTCCTTTAATGTCAAACTAAAGATACCATCTTATGTCACCCATCAAGCCACATAACTTTTTTCTGAAACATTTTTTCCTACAATCAAAACTAAAAAAGTTATTCGGGGTCCTCGATTAAAATGGGACACCCTGTATATAAATGTAATTGTGAAATGCAAATTACATATTTTTTCTTCGAAACAATTATGTGTTTTCTTTACACCAATTGATTCCTCTTATTATTTTGTACATAAAAGTGTTAAGATAAGATAATCAAAAAATGAATATTTTACTAGATATTTTATGGGTTATGTAAAATTAAGAAATTATTCAAGCCTTGTAACTCGAAAAGTACTCGATGAAAAAATACTTTATTATAGTGTTTTAAAAGGTTCTCGAAGTAAGCTACAAGATCTTTTTTTTTGGCGAGAGATTGCCCTCTGTGTGAATGTATGTATTTGTGTATATATATATATATATATATATATATCACATATATATAAATGTATGTATTACATGTATGTACGTATATACACAAATACATACATTTAAATTGCGCACTGAATATATGTACAAATACATGTATTTGTACACTCGGCAACCAAAATGCCTTAACACCTGAATTTGCCCGTGTCAAGGCATATTCTGACGACGTACTTCCACTCTATTATAATTGCGCGTCATGACTATTTAATATCTGGCAACGATGTTTCAAAGTGATTTTACGCAAAATTCAAACTAATGTGTGACATATCTGAAAAAGTGGTTTGACATATGTCAAATATGTCAAAATGTATATGATTAGAAAATAAGTAATGCACATTAATTATATAAAATATTAAAATAAAATATATTAAATATATAAAAAATATAAAGTGTGATATGAATTACACATATTAAGTTTTTATATTTGAACAGCAGCCGCTCATCCTCAAATCTGCGACACACAATAAAAAACTGGCATTAATATGTGTAATTCATATCACGCTATATTTTTTATATATTTAATGTATTTTATTTTAATATTTTATATAATTAATGTGCATTACTTATTTTCTAATCATATACATTTTGACATATTTGACATATAACCACTTTTTCAGATATGTCACACATTAGTTTGAATTTTGCGTAAAATCGCTTTGAAACATCGTTGCCAGATATTAAATAGTCATGATGCGCAATTATAATAGAGTGAAAGTACGTCATCCGAATATGTCTTGACACGGGCAAATTCAGGTGTTAAGGCATTTTGGTTGCCGAGCGTACATATAGTCAGCGCGCAATTTAAATCGATAGTGTATGTTAAGTCGATAATGTGTCGCATACAAATAGCAAAAAACGCATAAATGCTGCGTTAATCTGTTATGCATTTAAGTAGTATCTAATAATTTATAAAGGTAATGGTAAAGACAATAATGAAGTTAGGTAATTCTTTCGCGATGTACGTCATTACATGTTACGTTATTACTCATTGTTACACGATTTGGATATTACTTAATAGTACATCACATTAATGTAGCAACCGTACATCTTCGATTTTACATAAATATTGTTTCCTAAAATCCGCACTATGTCCTATATAATAAAATATATTTGTGATTTTTAGATTTTTGATATAATGCAACAATTGCATGAAGCTAAAGATTTTAATCCAAATGATTGGCAAAAACTTAATATATTTCAAATGATGTACACTGTATATGATACAGGATTATTAACTTGTGAAAAAATAGTAGAAAGTAGAGAAGCGAAAGAACTTTTGGAAATGATAAAAAATGTTGAATTCGATGTAATAGTACATGACATTACATTACTTCAATGTCTGTACGGATTGTGGGAGGTAAGAATAAACAATCCATTATGAAGTATTTGTACATATATGTCTAAACTGTGACTTTAATAGATTAAATGGAATTAAAACTAATTTTTCAATTAGATAATATTAATAATAATAATAATAATAATAATAATAATCATAACAACAACAGTAATAATGACAATAATAATAACAATAATAATAATAATAATAACAATAATAACAATAATAATAATAATAATAATAACAAAATTATAATTTTATGTACTTATACAATGCTACAATTAATACACGTACATAGAATTATTTAATTTGGCATAATATATGCAAAATAAAAGAAAAAAGAAAAAGAGATTTAAAAAAAAGAATCATAATCAAAAGCTCTTAAAGATTTAGTTAAACAGTACTCAAAATAGATAATAGATCATAATATTTAAAGTATAATTGTGATTAGCAAAAAATCTGTAATTAATATTTTCTGAACGAGAAATTTTCTTTTTGAATTTATATTACATTAATTTTGACGATTTAATTTTAAACCGAACTTATTTTAAAACTGAACTACAAGTACTTTTTATCTAAAAATGTTAACAAAAATTTTTTAAAACATAATTTAAAAATATCTATTATAAATTATTTTATATTATAGATTTTCTATCTATTATAATTTTGAAGAAGTTCTTAGATAAATTATAATCGCTTACAATTTTTAAAAATAGATTAAAAATTGATTAAAATAATTATTATTAATAATTATATATATATATATATATATATATATATATTTCTTTAAGAATAAGTTTTTTTTATGTAATTTAAAAACATGAAGAAATATGATTTTACATAGATTGTTTTCAGGTTGCTAAAGGCGAACCGCCTGTCGTTGGTTACATTCCATTCGGTCTTGCACCTTGGCTCAAGGATTATATCGGTGGTACTTATTACCCGACTGTTCGACCTTATTCATGTGTAGATTTTGCAAAACCCGAAGGTTTATGGCAGAAAACGTGGAATACTATTTATTATATCGTGGACGATTTTCTACGAAGTTATTATTACATGCCACTCTCTCAACGAATTGCTGAGCGATACATAGGTCAAAAAATCAGACCGTTACATAAATTAGAAAAAAGTATTACCATTTTATTAATCAATACTCATTCTGCATTTGAACCCGCGATCCCGCTGCCACCAAACGCCATAGAGGTTGGGGGATTGCATGTTCAACCACTACAAACTACTGATGAAAAAACCGTAATATATTCTGATGTAAGATTTATTATTTCAAAATTGATAAAAATACTATCAAAATTGAACATCCTAAAGAAATAGAACGGATTGAAATTTTATTTCGAATTAAATCTTACTTTTGATCTGTGTATATACATGCAAAAACTTCGATTTATGTATATACAGAGTGTCTCAAAACTCAAAATGAATCTTTCAAAGACAGATTCTTGGGATCATCTGAAGACGATTTTTCCTCAACGAAAATGTCGAGACACTAATAATTTTCGAATTGTAAATGATTGGAAATACGAGGCTTTTCGTAAACTAAGCTTTGTAGAAATAAAATAATAACAGTATATAACAAAACAACATTTTTCGATTAATTTTAAATAGAGTTTATTTTAGTTGAATTTTAATTTAAGACTTAATTGCAAAGATATATGATGACAAAAATCGGGAACATACAAAAAATGATGGCCTTCATCGATATTTTCGCTGAGAAAAATCATCTCCAAATGATGATATATACATATATATATATATATATATATATATATATATATATATATATATGTATGTATGTATATCGTATATACAAAATATTATGAAAAAGATATTCTTATTAATACCGAGATTTCTTAGTAAATACTAAACAATTTAACAGTGTTTATTAATACAAACGGAATTAATCCAATTCTATAGGTTTAATTATTCATAGTCGATTAAACAATAATAAATAATTATTTCAAATAAACTAAATACTATCTGAAAATTTTTAGCAATAAATAAATAATCTTTAATATGTGCGGTATTCTGCATAATACTATTGCAATTTGCAATTATCAATCAATGAGTTAGTTTAATGAATTAATCAATGAGTTAAAGTAGACTTATAAATATAGTTCGCTAAATTCATATATATGCCAAATATATTCATTTATGATTATTTATTTTAACAGTCATTTACAAATACATAGAAAAATCATAAATTTAATTATAAAATGTCGATTTCTTGAAATGTAATTATAAATAATTATTTTATAAATTTATGTATTTATGACTGACATAAATGAATTAACATATAAGTGAAAGTATATTTTAATTTTATCAAAATGTCTTTATTCTGTTATATATATCAAATTATTGCAGAACATACGTGAATTTCTTGATGGTGCAGAAAACGGAGCTGTTATAGTATCATTAGGAACAAATGTAAACTGGAAATCTATCGAATTAAATAAACTTAAAGCCGTTACACAGGCTTTTTCAAAATTAAAAGAACGTGTTATTTGGAAGCTAGATATTGAACTGCCATTTCAAGTGCCAAATAATGTAATGGTTGTGAAATGGATACAACAAAACGAAATTTTGAGTATGCCTCATAATTTATTGGAAAATACGAAAAATATTATAATTTGATATGTTTATAATGTTTATTTTTCTTACGATTAATCCTTTTTGTATATATAATTATATATAATTTGTATATATAATTTGTATCTAAATATTTATCTATATTTTTTAATTCTTATTTGTTTTTGTTAATTATTACGTAATTATAGAAATTTAATAAATAAATCTACAAGCTAGCAAAATGTTTATTAATATTAGATTTTTGTTTTCTTTATCTCTTACAGTATATCTTATTTGAGAAAATTGATTATAATACACATTTATATTCAGGTCATAAGAATGTAAGGGCAATTTGGACACATGGTGGTCTTCTCAGTACACAAGAAGCGATTTGGAAAGGTGTGCCAGTGATTGGAATGCCATTTTTTGTGGATCAAATACCCAATGTGGAATTATTAGTACATAAAGGGGCTGGCGTTCGTTTAAATTTTGCCACTTTATCTACAGAATCAATATTAGACGCATTTGAAAAAGTACTTTACAATAAAAGGTATAGTATTAAATTGTAATTATTGATAATATCTTTTTTATCACATAATTATGCGAATATATATGTTATTTGAAAGTAAATTTGATTTAATTTATATCTTGGTTAGATTTTATTAATATCTTAATATAATAATTGTTATGTGATAAAATAAATATAAGAATAATATATAAGATTAAATATTAGATGTTATTTAAAATAATAGTATAAATACAAAAGTTACTATAGTTATATAATAATAATAGCTTAAATTAATATTTTTCAGAATTTAGTATATTTTATTAAATATGTTTTATTACATATATTTTTTTGTGATTTGCATATTTAATTAATGTGTATCATAAGTGTACATAATGCTCCTAATGATAAAATATTTGTCGTGCAGTTATACAAAAAATATGAAACGATTATCCAATGAATTTCGGGATCGACCAGTGCCGCCGTTAGATTTGGCCGTTTGGTGGATTGAATATGCCGCCCGTCATTCACATGGAAGTTTAGAATCTTCGCTTAGATCCCAAAGTTGGGTAGAACAGAATCTAATCGATATTTACGCATTCATGTTTCTCATTCTTATAGTAATATTGTCGGCCATACGTTTTATATTGAAAAAATTATTTAAATTTTATTGTAATCGTGTATATTCTGTATCTAAATTGCAAAAACGTAAACAAATGTAAGAAATAAATAAAAATAATAATGTAAAAATATAAATAAATGTAATATATTCAAATAAAATAATAGATGTTGAATTTAATTTTAATGTAAGATAATACGTATATATTATTATGAATATATGTATAAATATAGGTATAGTTATGCAAAAATTAAAAAAAAATAATAATATTTGTGTGTTATTATTCGAAGATTGAGACATAAATTGTTGCCTATAATTTGTTCTGCTTTTATTTGTATATTTATTATTTACATTTATTACATATATATTTCCATGTACAATATTTATACATCATTTTTAATAAAAAAAACATTTGTAAATATAAAAATTTTGTGCAAATATTAATATTGTAATATCATATATATGTAATATATGTGTTACGCAAAAACTAATTGTTTGTTTAAAATTGAGATTAGCATAAAGTAAACAGTATGGAGATATTTGATAATTAATTCCTTAAAATGAGATTTAAACAAGAAGCATCATAACATTTACAAATGAATTGTGTTATTATTCTGTTGTATATCATTTTGGACGCATTAAATATGAACAATCATTATATTATTGCTGATAAAGATTATGTCAATAATATCTTCATTTAATCTCTAAACAGTAATATCAAACGTAACGACAACACTATATATTATTCAGATATGATTGATTTCTTCCTAACTTCTATGTAACTTATTCTATCTAACTTCTATATAACTTCTATGTAACTTTTTGAATGCTTACGAAATTAATAAACTATTTAAAGAAAAACTGCACTTAAATTGACGTATTTGAACTCTATCATTATGTTATAGTAAAATATAATGAATATAACATATTTTTATAAAAAATGCATAGTTGCGAGAACGAATAGATAATTAAGAAATATTGATTGTATTCTAAAAATAACTGAACTTAACAAAATAATATATATCAGTAAATTACATATGATAATTATGCTGTAGTATTTTGAAAAATAAAATATTGTTTGATGGTACTTTTTTATATTTAAGGAAAGATATGTGACGTTATTGTTAATAATATTTTTTATGTATTTTATTTATTAAATCATTATTATTTTTATTATGTTCACACAATTTCAAAGAAAAATAAATAAAATTCTTGAAAATAATAAGTTTACAAGCACTATCATTATGTAGGTTAATAACTTTGTGTGGCCTTGCCATTCAATCAAAGCAATCTTTGCAAGACTAAAAGAGTAAGAGAAAAGAAAAGAGAGATAAGAAGATCTATCAGGTAATATAAGCATTAAAGAATAGATTGGTGTATTCAAGCTTGAAGCTCAATTGTGAGCAAGCAAGTGAAGTAAAAGGCATTCATATTACATATCTTAATTATGTTAAAAAACTGATTTTTTATTGTACTTTAATGAGACTCGTGACAATGTCAAACTCATTATCGATTTTACTATTACAATCCATACTATCAAATAGTCATCAATAGTGTTAAATTTATTGAAAGAATTACTTAGCAAAGGCCATCACGAACACATAGTCAGCATTCATGAATCTGATATCAAAGATAAACTCGCACAGAATATGGCATATGCTGCAAGCATTGTTACAAGGAATTTATATAAATATATTTTATTATTAGATAAAATTATTACATATATATATATATATATATATATATATATATATATACAGATTTATGCAGACAAAAAAATAATATTTGTATGTTATTGTTTGAAGATTAAGACATACTTGTTATAGTCTATAATTTATTTTGTTTTTATTGATATATTTATTACATATATTTATTACATATATTTATTACATATATATTTTCATACAAAATATATATCTTTTTTAAATAAAAAAATCACATTTATAATATAAATATTTAACACATTTAAAAATTTTACGTAAATGTTAATATTATAATATCACGTAATATATGTATCATACAAATATCTAATTCTTTCCTTAAAATTGAAATTAGAAGTAAATAATATGGAGATACGTGATAATAGATTCTTTCACGTGATATTTAAACACGAAGCACTATGACATTGACAAAAGAATTGCGTCATTGATCTGTTGTATGTCATTTTGCATGTCCATCAAGTATGAACAATCATTATTGTTGATGATAAAGATTATTATGTTAATCTTCTGTTTCCTTTTAATGTCAATAATAATATGAAATCGATACGAGATAAGCACTACATATTATTGAAATATATGATAGTGATTTCATTTTAATTTCTTCATACTTTTTGAATGATTGTACAATTAGTAAATTATTTAAAGAGAAACTGCATTTAACATTTTGTATTTAAATTATATCATAACTATATGTATTTAAATGTTAAATCATAATTAATTTAACATTCATAAAGAACCGTTAAAAATGTTGTAAGAATTAAATAGACAATAAGAAATATTGCATTTTGAAAAGTAATAATAACTGAAGATTTATAACAAAATAATATATATAATCAATAAATTATATAAAATAATTACGCTGAAATAGTTTGAAAGATAATAGTCAGTCTTAAAAAGAAGTAGTTTGAAAGCTAAGAGTTCAGAAGAAGTTTGAAAGATAAGAGTTCAGTCTTAAAAGATAAAATACAGTCTTCTCATATTTTTTATATTTAAGTAAAGATATTAGAATGTTGTTAATAATATTTTTTATGTATTAAATTTTTATTATATTTACTATGTTCACACAATTTTCAAGAAAATAAATAAAATTCTTAAAAATATTAAGCTTATAAGCGTTATCATTATGAATGTTAACAACTTTGTGTGGCCTTACCATTCAGTCAAAGCAATTTTTGCAAGAACAAAAAAGTAAGAGAAAAGACAGATAACAAGTAAAGGAAAAGAGATAAGAAATAGCTATAAGACAAATATATAAATAGATTGATGCATTTGAGCTTAAAACGCGATTGTAAACAAGTAAAAAAGGCATTCGTATTATACATCTTGTTAATCATGTTAAAAAAATTGATTTTTTATTGTACTTTAATGGGACTTGCGACAATATCAAGTTCATTATCGATTTTATTGGTGCAACCCATACCGTCAACCAGTCATCATGTTTGGACGATGAATTTATTGAAGGGACTACTCAGCAAAGGTCATCACGTACACATAGTCAGCATCCATGAACCCAATATCAAAGGCAAACTCGCCGAGAATATGACATACGGTGTAAGCATATATATGTTAAAAGAAATTTGAATATATTTTAGATAAAATTTCCAACATAAACATATATACGTGGATATATATATATATATATATATACATATATATATATATATATATATATATATACATATATATAATTGTAATTGTGAATTGCAAATTACATATTTTTTCTTCAAAACAATTATGTGTTTTCTTTACACCAATTGGTTTCTCTTATTATTTTGTACATAAAAGTGTTAAGATAAGATAATCGAAAAATGAATATTTTACTAGATATTTTATGAGTTATGTAAAATTAAGAAATTATTTCAAGCCCCATAACTCGAAAAGTACTCGATGAAAAAATACTTCATTATAGTGTTTCAAAAAGTTCTCGAAGTAAGCTACAAGATCTTTTTTTTTAGCGAGAGATTGCCCTCTGTGTGAATGTATGTATTACATGTATGTATGTATATACACAAATACATACATTTAAATTGCGCACTGAATATATGTACAAATACATACATATATATATATATATATATATATATATATGTATGTATGTATGTATTTGCACATATATTCAGCGCGCAATTTAAATCGATAGTGTATGGTTAAGTCGATAATGTCGCATACAAATAGCAAAAAACGCATAAATACTGCGTTAATTTGCTATGCATTTAAGTAGTATCTAATAATTTATAAAGGTAATGGTAAAGATAATAATGAAGTTACAGGTAATTCTTTCGCGATGTTACGTCATTACATGTTACGTTATTACTCATTGTTACACGATTTGGATATTACTTAATAGTACATCACATTAATGTAGCAACCGTACATCTTCGATTTTACATAAATATTGTTTCCTAAAATCCGCACTATGTCCTATATAATAAAATATATTTGTGATTTTTAGATTTTTGATATAATGCAACAATTGCATGAAGCTAAGGATTATAATCCAAATGATTGGCAAAAACTTAATGTATTTCAAATGATGTACACTATACATGATATGATGGAATTTACAATTAGTGAAAAAATAGTAGAAAGTAGAGAAGCGAAAGAACTTTTGGAAATGATAAAAAATGTTGAATTCGATGTCATAGTACATGACATTACGTTATATCAATGCCTGTACGGATTGTGGCATGTAAGAATAAATTCCAATGAAGTGTGTATATATATGTACAAACTGTGATTTAAATAGATTAAATAGAATTAAATCTAATTTTACAATTAGTAATAATAATAATAAGTAATTAGTAATAATTAGTAATAATAATAATAATAATAATAATAATAATAATAATAATAATAATAATAATAATAATAATAATAATCATAACAAAATTACAATTTTATGTACTTATATAATGCTATATTTAACGTACATAAAATTATCTAATTTGGCATGGTCAAAAAAGAAAAAAGAAGATATTAAAAAAAAAATTATAATATCAAAAACTCTTGGAGATTTAGTTAAACAATACTGAAAACATATAGTGGATCATAATATTTAAAGTATAATAGTTTTAATAAAAAAATCTGTAATTAATATTTTCTAAACGAGAAATTTCCTTTTTGAAATTATATTTCATTAATTGTGACGATTTAAAGCTTAATTTTAAGCTGAACTTATTTTAAAACTGAAATACAAGTATTTTTTATCTAAAAATTTTTACAAAAATTTTTTAAAACATAATTTAAAAATATCTATTATAAATTATTTTATATTATAAATTTTCTATCTATTATAAATTTTAGCTATTATAATTTTTATCGATCTATTATAATTATTATCTATTATAATTTTAAAGAAGTTCTTAGATAAATTATAATCGCTT